TTACTTAAATAAGATGGTCAATCAAATCTCTGGAATGGGAGATAAAATTAGGATAAGACTCCTCAGCCTAATTTTAGTTTAAGAAGTTGGACACTGTCCATGTAATCTCTACAAAAGCTTTCATTGCACTGTTCTTCTTGTTGCTGGTTAAAATTATACTCTCTATTCCACAGGTTACTGACTCTAGATATTCACATTCATCCTTACTCTCATATTCCAGTACCTTGTGAGAAATGTAAAGAGGAAACTACAATATCTGCTGAATGTTAGTAGCTCTTCATTTCCCATCAGATTCAGAAAAATCTATAAAGAATGCTTGTAAGCCATATCCATGGAGCCAAAGTTTTACTGAACAGTTTTATAGTGAAAGGATAGCTCCAGAAGCAGTCCTTTGGGGAATGGAAAAAATGATCTGTACATATTGATGCAGAACACTATAATATTTTGCTTACTGCTTTAAAATATATTTGAAGTGGATTGCAGTTTTGTCAATCCATCCCTCGGTACATGGTTCAGAGATATTTTGCTCATCTTCTTTTAACTAGAAATATCTTAAATCAAATGTTTCTTTTTAGTGCCATAAAGCTGAAAAACTGATGTTATTGAAAGAACCGTGGCAGCTTAATGATGTGAGAATGTGCAAGTTGGCTGAGAGTACTGACTGACATGAATATACTGTCAAGTTTGGTACCTCACAGGAGAAAGTTCTCAAAAATCTTTCAGAAAAAAATACTCAAGAAAGCTTTCCTTTCGGGATAATCACTTGAAATTTTTCATTCCTGGTATTTCCTGAGTGAAATTAGTTGACTTATGGTAAGTTTGTATAATTTATTGCATTATAACAAAAGCAAGATTAATTTTATTTCTTTCCTTCTCCTCTTTTTAGTATAATTTATTTACTTTGGGATGAGACTTTTTATATACTGTGTGAGAAACTGCATCTATCTATGTAGCAAATGCATCTACATGTCTTATACTCTGCACCTTTTCATAAAAATAAGATTTTCAGCCATCTCTCATGCTCAAATATATCTCCTTATTTGCTATTTTACACTCAGTAATGCTTCTGTTTTTGTCTGAACCATAAATGTGGATGTGTACTGTTGTTGTAGTAATGGTCCTTTCAGCTTTGCTGTTTAGATAGCCAAGCTTAACAGACAAGTTACACAACAGATTAGCTTCTCTCTTCAGAAAGGAAAATAATTTGCATAATTTGATATCTACCCTTCATAAAGACTGTTCTTATTTTCTGTATATATTTGTCTAGCACATCTCTCATTTGCTTCTCTGTTTCTCTTTATTTGCGTATATGAAAAGAACAATATGGATTCATATGTGCATGTAAAACACAAACGTATAATTATTTATTGCTTTTTTTTCTAGTCTCACTTAAAAGTATTCTAGTTACACTTAAAAGAGCAAAATAACAGCAGAGGAAATGCTTGTTAAACTTCAGTGTCAGACAGTGCCTGCCTCTCTGGTAGTATGAAAGATGTTACAGAAGGCGGAAATGAGTCTTGGTCACAAGCCATTACATGAATTCAGAAAGAACCAGAAAGTAAATGAGAATGGGAACCTTTGTGAGAATTAATTTATTTTTTTTTTCATAGCAGGGAATAAATGATCCTATCAGTGGTATATGATGCTAACTTTTGCCAAAATTATTGTCAGTAATATTCTTTAATATTCATATTCTTAATTCCAGAGAGAGTAGAAAATGTGTTCATTCAATAATTTAGCACATGAGTTTGGTAGATATCAGACTGTTTTCAGGAGAATGTAATGATAGAAGCAATATAATATTTTTTATATTTAATATTTAGTCTATACCCTACCCTTCTACTTATTTGTGCAGAGAGCTACCACCAGTGGAGTTGCATGGCAGCAATGTGACTCAGTGCAAAATACTGATTCATATTTCTTTTCCTATGATGCCATCTGGATCCTATTAATTTTTGCTTTTCTTCTCTATTATTTACTCATGTTTTACTATTTGATGTTCTCTTGTGGTGGACTTATTTGAAAGGACAGCTGAGGGTCAGGGAGCTGATTTTCTCTCTTGTGTGTCCAAACATCATTTTTATTTGGTTAAAATCTTTTGTGTGAATAGTTTCTCTTCTGTTCATGTCCTAAGAAACTTCTGGACACAAAATATTCATAAATGCCTGGTATCAAGGCTCTAGTTTTCTTTAACCTCCTTAGTAAGAAGAAACTGTCAGCACTGTGTCTTCCATGTGTAAGAGTACAGGTTGCTCTTAAGGACAATTGTTATTATACTAAATATTAGTGTGCATGCGTGTTTTGACATTAAATCAGTACATACTGCAAACTGCAAAATGTAGCAGATAGTTCTCTAAGTACGGGTTTTAAATACAGGTATGTCCATGTCTATATTTGTTAAAGTAAAATTATAGCTTGATTCTGAAATCTCACTTTGATTGATGAGGGACTCAAGTGCTTTCTACTGAATTCTTTTAATATAAATCAAACTATAATCATCTTCACTGTAGGCCAAAAATAATGTTTGCTTTGCAAATTTCAATGCTCGTAACTCTTGAAATAATATTTAAAAGAAAATGGTAGAGGATAATTATGAGTTTGCTTGAGGAAGGCATTAATTCATTATTCATTGGACTCTGAAGAATAATAGAGAAACAGATGTTTGTGAAGGGGGAAAGTGGGCTTCTAGTCCTATACTGCTGCGTAAATCAAGAGTCAAAGACAAGTAGAGTGCTACAGGGATCTAAAAGTGAAGTTTAAATGTAATACGCAAGGAAAACTAAATAATGGTTATGTACTCAAACAGATAAACTGTGGTAAGCATGATTGGAAAGATAATTTTAGGATTTTTTTCTTTGATTTTTAGTAACTGATGGATCAGAACAGCAAAACAGCTAAAGATAAGAAACTGAAATTAGAGCCACATGCTAGGAAGCCAGTTCACACTGTAAATAGGGAAAAGGAGTGGAAGAGATTGGATGTATACTTTCCAGGGTGTAAACCAGTGCTACAGAAACACAAGAGTATAGCTGCAATCTTCTATTTCTTTAGAAAACAAAGTGATACCTATTTCCTAATACTGCTGAAAAGAAAGTTGGTGGACAAATCTAAGCATTTGTGGAACTGACTTGTTGGGCCTTTAGCTGTTGACAGAGACAGAGAAGAGCCATCTCCAGAGTGGATATGATAGCTACAATCTGACCAGTAACTACTTACAAATAAAATAAGAGAAGATATAAACTTATTATCCATATCAAGGACAAAGATGCTTTTTGGCAAAAGGCCTCAGAACAAAGGAACTCAAGGTAAAGACAGGATTTGGTCAGTTTGCTGTTTGAGTAATAACAAGAAGTGATCTGAGATGTCTTCAGATGCAAGCTGAAGTGATATGAACTAGTGATATTTGTTTTCCAAATTAATATATTTATAGCCTTTTCTCCTCCTACTATTTCATCTAGGGATTTGTTTTGCACTGTCAAGCTGCTACATTGACAATTGTGATTATTTTTTTTTTTTTTCCTCATATCAAATGAGGAAAATCCATGCTAATTTTGCACTGTTCTCTAAAATAAGTAGAATCCAGTTTTATGCTTAGGAGTCATCTAGTATTTTTGGAATAACTGAGATTTCTTCACAAATTCCAAATAAGAAATATTCCCATCACATAGTCAAGGAACAGCAAATAGTGAGTCACCCTTTCTTTTATTTCTGTCTGTTATGAACAAAGATGAGTCTGATCTGCAACACTGAGTTGAAACATTTTTCTTCTGGTTGTTCTTATCAGAATTCACTGATTGCTGTTGAGTGGGTGCATGGGATCTATTTTACTTTCTTTAGGAAAAACAGTAATCATAAAATTTATGTTAAAAACAGTTACAATTGTATGTATTCCACTGAAATGCATGCATTTCTTTTTATCATTGGTATTCCCTATTTCAGGACAGTTGTGATTGTTCTTGCTTTCTAATTTTTATTCTAAAGGATTATATTAAAACAGTCACTAGTTGTATAGAGGTGACGTTAATCTACTGGAAAACAGTTGAGGATTAGCAACATATTTCATAGCAATGATAAAGAAGCTTTACTTGGTGTAAGCTGTGATCTGTTGAAAATATTTCTGCGTAACAGAAACTTCTTTCCTGCACAACCTAGCAGAGTATTTCAGCTAAGGAAGCATTACGTTCTAAGTTGTTTTCATGCTGTGATCTATACACACAAATTTTCTGTTTGCTTTGTGAAACTGCTTCTCTCCTAATTACAAATAATTCAGTGATCTTGCAAAGATACTTGATCTGATTGTTTTTTACTTGTTTTACCTCTATCAAATATTTTTTTTCCCAGTCCTTGCTTCGTAAGTAAAATAAACATCTCTCTTCTGTATACAAATACACTATAATTATCAAACAGAAATTAATAAAAGAGCACCTTTAAATACCCAGATACATACAAACACAAATGCCTATTTTACAAGCTTGCTCTGTAACAAAATTGAGCTGTAGTTATTTAAAAGACAGATTAAAAAAAAAAAAAAAAAAAAAGTGTTGTTAAGTGAACCCAAAGCTACAAGTTTGCTTTGTAAAGCCAATAGGGCTTTACTGATCAAGATGTCCCATTAATTCAGAATTGATAATGTTCAGATATGAGAGTGGATAAATTACTGTGAGAATCCTGCTTTGTTTTTTGGCTCAAAGCTTGCTTTCTGAGGTATTTCTTGTAATAAGACTGACTTGTCTAGGAGATGTTGCCTTGTGGCAATCAACATCGCTGTGTGGACAATTTTAGCTGTTTGCCTCTGGAAGAGAGTGCTCAGGAGTGTTTACTGGCAAAAGATCTAACATGTGACTAAATAACTCCAGCTTGCTATGGGAAACTGGGGGATGATGCCATTGTATCCTGTGAAGGCAAGATACATGTTGGTGCCTTCCTGCTCCCTCTTATCTGCTGGCAAGGCCAGGAAGATAGGAACAAAGGAGTTTCTGCTGAGACTGCAAAGTCAGAAGCTGCCACTCCAAGGATAGCTGACTCAACCACTTCGGATTTCAGCTGTCACTCCAAAGACAGCTGACTTGACCACTTTGGAACCATTGAAAAGAGGCCATCATTGCCATGGTCACTGTTGTCATCATTGTCAACAGAACAACAATGCCTGACAACCCACCACTACTGAAGATCAGTGACTGAACTACGAACCACGCTGGATCCATGGTGGTGACTATTTCCCTCTTGCTTCCTCTAAAGACTCCTTGCTTCTTCTTTCCTATCTTTTCTATCACCCTCCTTCCCTTCCCCATTACTCCAATTCATAATAGCGTCTGTCCTCCCCTTCCCCATCTCCCTAATTAAGATCTGTAATAAACTGGTCGGACCAACATATGAACTGTTGTTTCTTAATCTCAGGCTGGGTATACAGATATTAAAAGAACCTCCTCTCCCTCCCATAAATTGGAGACCATTACAAAACAGCTTGCAGACAGCTTTATTAAAGTTACTAATGGAGCAGTAAAGTGTGCTAGTCCTAGCTCTTAAGGAATGCCTCTTTTATCCTAATTCAGTGGAATAGACAATGATATTTTGAGTTTTCAGTGGCTGTGGATGATGCACATAGTGGTGAAGTAGGCACTCTGAAAAATGTAATACTTGGAAGAATTATAATTGCCTGATTAAATTGCTCTAATAAAATATTATTTGTCTTAAAACAAGAAGTTGGGGAATGATTTTTCTCACTGAATACAGCACTGGTAAAACTCTTGCCAGAACATGGAGTCCAACTTTGTTAGCTGCAATTCAAAGAAGTTTTGCATTGAACTGTAATGCAGGTACTGGAAAACAGTTTTTATAATTGAGGTTTATGAAGCTCAGCTGGTTCTGCTCATTAACAGAGAGTCAGTATGGATGGATCATTTCTTATAGTCACTTGCTGCAGGGAATTACATCCCAGCTTTTAATCCAAGTGTTACAAATAAAAATTAGGCAGATGCAGTCTGAAACAAGGACACAATGCCCTGGTGATGAAAGTAGTTAAATACTAGACCAGTGTAGGAAACGTGAAGAGGGGAAGTTTCTTCACTGCTTACTCTAAGAGTAATCTGATTTTTTTTTTTTTTTTTAACTGAAAGTAAACTTGGCTTTTATGAGGAGTTCTGTATCTTCTGCTACTATTGTGGAGGTTAGAAGTTCCAGATAATTACTTTGTGTTATTGTTGATCCATAGTCTTAGCCCCACAATACTGAAATAATTCATTTAGTTTTTTTTAATCTCTATAACCACTCTCTAATACTTGAAAATAAAGAGAAAAGTAAAATTCTACAGAAGAGAAAAAAACATATTTATTCTGAAATCATCTTTAGTGGATAATCTTAATCATTCCCTTCATTTAAAATAAAAGCTTCTGTACTGCCCTTGTAATACTTGTTATGCAATGTTCTTGAACCGGTCATGTGTGGAAAAAGGACTTTTTCCTCTTCATGGTTTCCTACTTTTCTTTAATTTTGACCTTCCTTCTTCTAAATATGAAAATTGTATGAAGGATCCTCTTTCTGACAGACAAAGGAGAATAACTGTCTTAGTTTCTATCTGAGATGCTGATAGTTACAGTTCTAGCTGTCTGACCTATCTGCAGTGGACAGATCTATGAGTATCAATTACAACACAGAATTTTAAGAGAAATCATTCCTACTTTTGGTAAGTTGTAAAATGCTGTGCTCTTAATGACAACAGTTTAAAAGCTAATTGACAAACAGGTCAGGCATCTGAGTGTGGAGGGTTGAGGGAGCAGCAGAGATAGTAACCTTGTCAGCAGCTGCAGGCTAAAACACCCCTGCTCATAAGACACCATTCAATTCCTCATGGGACATTTTGCTCTCAAGGTGTGGGTCTACTGATTGTCAGATTTGGGTTAAGGAGCAATAATTAGTGCTTCAGTCTGACCATACTTTTCTCTTGTGAAGAATTAGAAAACAAACAAACAAAAAAGGCCCCCACAAATAACAACAACAAAAAAACTCCGAGCCCTCAAGAAGCATCCTTTTTGTTTCTATTTCTTTTCAGAAGAAAAAGGTTTTTAGTTAAAAACTTGTTGGAGTTATCCTGAGTTATTTTTTTAAGTAGTCCTGGAGATAGTAAATGTGTTCTTATTATTAAACAGTTAACTTTAGATGTTGGAACTTTTAGTAAATAATGGTTAATCATAATGAGATATCTTGTATAACAGAAAGGTAAACAGAAATGGCAGTGCAAATTATTCTGAATAGCTGAATTATTCTGAGTGTGAAAGTTTTTAAAACATCAACTTGTGTTTAAAATAAAACTATTATTATACCGTTATTATGTTAGAAAATATAACCAAAGTGTACAAATAATTGAAATCATACTGTACAAAAAAATATTTCTGTGATCTTTATGGGATCTGATCAATGTCTATAAATTTCTAAAGTGCAGGAGGCAAAGGGATGAGGCTAGACTCTTTTCAGTGGTTTGTGGTGATAGGACAAGGGAAAACAGCCACAAAATGAAGCATAGGAAGTTTTGCACCAATATGTGAAGGAATTTCTTCACAGTGAAGGGTGACGGAGCACTGGAATAGGCTGCCCAGGGAGGTTGTGGAGTCTCCTCTGGAGATATTTCTGAACTGTTTCATTACTCAAATAAAATTACCCAGTGTTAAATTTCCTGTCTGATTTTCAACTTTATTTTGAAACTACCCATTCAAACCCAAGGTTGTTAATTATTCTCTTAAACTTGCTTTTCAAAATCAAATATTATGTTTCTTTAGAGCCTGCAATTAATGTTATCAATCATTCATTACAGCTGTTGAGAATAAATCGTAAGATTTTAAATTAGAAACTTTGTGTTCATTCTGCTTCTCAGGTGAACTCACAGTTTTCACTAGAACCAATTGTACAGCAAAGAGATGTGAATCACTCAAAAAATTCTGTAACAATGCTCTGTATAGGCTAAGGAACATACTAGATGTATGTAATCAATCCTTAATTACTTAACAGATTTCTGAACCTTTTTTCTCTCCTGCGTTGGGAATGATAACTCACTAATGATGTACTTACCAAATCTTCTGTATTTTAAACAACTTCAAATTAAGCATCTACCTGATACTCAACGATGCTTTGGTAAGAAATATTTTAATCAAATCCATAACTAGAGATGTCGAAATATGCTACCATAGGAATTATTTGAATGAAGTGTTTTGTGTACTTAGACACTCTTAAAATAGAAGAGTTTACTCCAAACAGTTCCTGGTCAAAGCCCACATCATTAAGGAGATGAGATGCTTCCTGCCATAGATGCTCCATCTGAAAGACAAGCCAAGGAGGAAAACAGCTGTGCACAGGTGAAGCACTGTGAACTTTCTGAATATCATGCAGTAATAACACTCAAAGTATCTTATAATTAGAGTTTGGAAAGAGGGGGAGGAGAAGAAAGGATTAATACTGCTGTAATTAAACTGATTGGAACATATAATGTACTCATAAACACTTCTGTAAGTGATCTTAGGAAGCCAACAGAAAAAAATAAAAATAGCAGTCCAAATATAGTGGGAAGCCATACAGTTATGTATATATGTATGCCCTTTTTAATTTTTATAGTGAAGTTTAATTATTTTTTTCACTTTTTAATAATTTATCAGTGTTTGATATTGGAAGTATACTTTATTTCTTTTAGGACATAATTACATTAAATAGCTTTAAAAGAAAAGAAACAATGAATATATTTCATAAATGTTTAAGAACTTTTGCTGATTATCTTGCACCAGAAAACAAATCAGAATGAACATATTATGCAAAGGCATTTCATGATGAACTGTTATATGAGAAAGAGTGAGTTTTAAAACTTAGAAGTTAAAGTTATGAGAAGACATGCTGAGGACCAAATTTACCACTAACTTGAAATGAACCTCAGCACTTACTTTAATCAAGCCTGAAGGAGTTTCAGCATTTCCTGATGCCTTCTGTTTAAATCTCTTCAATAGAAGATAAGTATCTAGGAATCCAGAAAACCTGAGTCTTAGCAATTCATATACTCAGGCTCTGATTCTATGTCTTGGAGTATTATGAGGACTGGATCATAGTGATATTTATGTAAATTATTTGCTACTGAATATGTCTAAGACAATCATTCTGGTTTCCTATGAAGAGAAGCCCTTCCAGTCCATCTCATTCTACAGAGTTCACATCAGAAAACTGTTAAACGTGTAAAACTCTGAGCTCACCTGCAGGTAGGTGAGATAATTTCCTTATAGCATAATATTTAACTTGCTTTACTGAGAAAGACTATTTAGCAGGAGCAACTATAGAAATAATTGAATAGTTTGAGGTATTTTTCATTTCATTATTAAGTTGTTGTTTTTTTTTTCCTCATCTTTTCTCAGAGTAAAGACAGGCCTTTTATGCCTACATCTTTTTTTTACATATATTTTTATTTTCTTTTATTATTAGTTGTCCAAACATCAATATTTACTTCATATTTTCAGCCTTTAAAGAAGGAAAATATAGAGTTAGAACAAAAAGCCATATTCTATAAATAAGAAATTTGTAATATTGGACTTACTGTAATGAAACGTGCTTTTGATTTTTCAGTGCGTTTATTCAAGCAGTGTTCTCAACACACCATTCATGGACACAAATCCACAAGCCTCTTTCTCAACAATTCATACATAGCCTTTTTCTATAGATTCAAAATAAGTAGAGGGAATAAATTGAGATAAATGTATTTATATTGAATTTTTCATTATGCTACTGCACTTTCTCCCAGCTTGAACAGTTGGCAGTCAACTGTGAATGACAGTAGTTCTGCATTATTGAAATCCAGATTAAAGGGTACCTCAAACAACATCTACCTTTCCAGTCAAGTCACCTGGAAGATTTGCAGGACATAGAGAAAATTAGTGGATATGAAAGAGTTCCAGCAAAGCAACAGATGTGTTCTCTTTTTCAGTGCTTGTGTACATTGTTAAAGTAGTCATTATTTTTGCTAATATTTTCCAAGTAGTCCAGTTTGCAATCATCTCAGACCTTTTTTTCTCATTCCTTACATTTTCAGCTAAAAAACAAAACAAAACAAAACAAAAAACTTCTTTCTCCAGACTCTCAGTGTATTCCCATATATTTATGTTTAATTTTCACATCTCTATTTTTCTTTTCAGATTCAGTGAAATCCCTACGTTTCTCAGCTTTTCCCTCTGCACTGAATAGCT